CTTTAACACTTTCTCTGGTTTGGCTTTTAATAAAACCACTGTTTACCTGCTGCCATTTATTCAATTTGCTGAAATTTTCTAATATAAGTAGGTTTTTAATTTGCTTAGACTCTGCGTTGCCCCTTTTCTGATCCAGAATTGTGTCAGTAAGATCTTTCTGGAACAAAGTACTGTTTTCCAAGCATCCCTTTTACGTGATGATTTCCGCTGATGGGCTTTTTCTCTAAAGGTCTGCGTAGGTTCCTGTAAGTGAATACAAGTGATTTATAAATGTTGCCTATTGACTCATTGTATTGGGACATTTTCAGCAGGTGGAGAAAGTGTCATCTAATAAATAAAACAATACTGAAATAGATTTCTTTTCACATAAATATGACTGTTTAAGTATCACAGTGTTATGGTATGATGAGAGATGAGACTTCCTCCCCATCAGCGAGTCATGGTCCTTGATACTTCAGTTATCTAAGATCAGAGAAAATTTACCCAGACAGTGGATCTTCTTGGAGTTTTTTTATGGTTTCACAGAAGCGTTACCTATTAGTTAGAGATTGTGCCCGGAATTCAAACTATGCCCCTGTCCAGCCTGAACACATTCAAAGTGAAGCCCTGTTTGATTTGTAACACAAATCTGAACAGAACACGTTGGCATTGTTTTTCCCTAAGTGTTCTACACAAGGATTTCTCTCTCTTTAGGGTTATGTTGGCACTTTGAAAAGTGTAAAATCTGGTCTGGTGGTAAATAAGTGCCACAATCTTGACATAAATCTTAGGAAGATTTCACTTCTCATTTTCCTTGGTGATACCATGCTGTCATCACTTATGTTGACTTTTGTTGCTTTAAACAGCTTCAGCTATAGTTTAAACAGGATCTTGAATGTGTATTGTGTACCAGCAGAATTTTAAATGGAAAATGACATAACTTGAATATTTTTTTCAGTTTTAAGTATGCATAGGGCAAGAATGGATAATATGACCATACTTTGCAAATACTATGGATCATTTGGAACCTAACATTTAAATCCTGGTTATTGTGAAATGTCATCTCAAACCAAATTGTTATTTAGTAGTATTTGTTTACTTTAGCTGTTTTGTTAGGACTTCCGTTTTACAGTGCAAGAGAAACCTGTGTTGATGCTGCTGTAGAGTCTGTTACATTGGAATGTGCCAGCAAATGAATCAGTGTTATGGAAACAAGAACCAGACATGTAAGGACTAGTTTTCTGGCTATTTCTTTTCAGGAAATTTGCCTGCTACTTTTGGCTAATTTGTTTCCCAACTCATTATTTTCCGAGATCTCATACAAATTAGACCTATTTAACTTAAAAAAAAAAAAACAAAAAAAAAACACCACCACACACCCCAAAAAAACCCAACCCAAACAACAAATAAACCCCCAACCTGTTGCTAACTTGATTTTTCTAGTGGCCCCTGAAGCCCCTCTTTTACCTAAATACATAACAGATCTTGTGGTTTTACTTGCCTTCCCTGAGAGTAGCCCCAGGCTACATTCCATGACTCAGATGGGATGCTGAGGATTTCTTGTGTTAGTCTTTTTCTTAAATATTATTTCAGAATTGTGGTTAGTGTAGGTGTATTGAGGAGGAGGGTGAATCTGTTGTGGTTTTGTTTTTTTTTTTTCAACTAGCTACTATGTCTTAATTCCAAAATCAGTCACTAGTGTAAGTAGGCTTCTAATAAAGCAAGAGTGGAACTTTGTAAGCCTGGTTCCAACTTTTTATTGGTGAACATCTTCCTAGTTTACAATTGTGTAGGCTGGGTCAGAATTAGCCGCAAAATATGTGAAGATATATTCGATGTGGCCTAAAGACAAAAGGTTGTTTATTAATTAAAGGCCTTCATATTTGCCTATGACAAGTCACATAGTTCGGTTTTAAAAACAAAATGAAAGCAAACGAATGACAAAAAGACACAAGGAAACACAAAAACCACACTATGTCTTAGTATAATAATCTATTACTCATTACTTGTAGATCCTGATTTTGAAATGCTAATAAAAAGTTCAAAGCATATGTACTTAAATTCTTTTTCCATCCCACGTGGACAGTTAATAACTATATTGAAAAGATTGCATAAGTATTGCTGGTTATAGTTTAGGTTAGCAGGACAGACATAAAGGCAGTATTAAGTATTTTATTACTAATTTGGCCTAACAAGGCACAAACATTGGTCGTTACCACATTATTGTAATCCACATATTTTCTTAGAAGTTATGTACTGGTCTTAAAACACAGGGAGGACTCTTCTGAACAGTATGTAACTGTTCTGTTAAACTAAATCCTAGGCTTTTTATTATCATTGTGTTTATGCTAGGGCCAGGAAGTGGATTTACTTTTCATCCCATTTTAAGAGTGTGATTGCAGAAACTGCTCCAAATGTTTCTCCACAAGGTATGATGGAGTTTGTAAGTTGTTTGAAATAATTGCTTTATATTGGTTATCTACCAGAATGTCATAGTTGTAGTGAGAATGGACTTTTGTGTCTCATTTCGTGGCAGAGTTTTACTGTGCTGTGACTTTTTTCATTAAGGCACTGCCTCTTTTAACTTGTCACCAGGACATCACTTTAAATGTGCATTTGTAGGTGATGAAGAATCTTTATGTTTTATTGCATTTTCTGTAAACTTATCTTTGCCTAGTTATTTGTTTCCTTACTGTAATGCAGAATGAAGCAAGTATTTTGGGGTATATTTGGAGATAATTGGCTTGGCAGATGCTGGCCCGAGTTTGAAGTAGATGTCTGTTTTAGAACTGAATCTCTGCCAAATAGTTCAATTAACTATCTGAAGTCTGGTGTAAGTTACCTTGATTAGATGAGAAATTTAAATGCTGTGTGTCCATTTGAATCAGCTGCTGTTTCAGCAGAAAAATTTTGTACAATTGACAATACAATTTTTCAGTTCCCAGCTTTGCAGTAGTAAGTTGAGTGAGTCATAAGATGTTCTGTATTAGACTCCTGTTACTTTTAAAAGTAAATAATAGAAAGCCACCCCAAAATGTGTTTGGGACAAATACAGTGAGATTCCTGATAATTCCCCCTCTCTCCTTTACTTTCTCTCCCTACTCCTTTTTGCTTCAGAAAGATAATTTCCTCACTATGCTGTTAATACAGTTGCTGTTATACTGTAATTGACAGTCCCCCAACTGCCAAAAAATTTGAAACCTTCAAAATGAAAGCATCCAATGAACGTAATTCTAGCAGTGGGGGAAAGAAAACTGAGGACTGGAATTAAAATTTTGATTAATCTTTTACTTTCTTTAAAAGCAAATGGTTATACAATCTACAAATGCTAAAGATCAAGTAAGATCTTCTTACCTGCTTCTGAAAGACATTTAACTGGTCTTTTTGTTCTTGAACAGTTCATAAAAGCAGGAACAAACTGAAAAGATACATCTAATACTATGTATGAACTGTGTAATCTCCTTAAAAGAACTTGGAACTATCATTTGTGTGTATGTGCAGTCAGTAAATATTCAGTAGCAATAAAAGCAAGATCAAATTTACATTTGATAGGCTGTCTCCATCATTGGTGTTCACGATTGTATGATCACACAATCCCATATGCATCTTATACTGGACAAAAAGAGGATGGTTTGAATATTTGAGTCACTAAATTTACTTTTAAGATGCCATTATGCATCTTTAAGATGCCATTTAAAGCATCTGCTGTTCTGGTATAGTTCAGGTGTTAGTTAACATTCTGGTAGGAAAGTGAATTTTTTAAAAAGATATTTTCATGTGAAACCTTGAAAGTCACATTTGGATGTGACCCCTTTCTTTGTGCTACACTGATAGTAAAAGAATGTGAGAGACTGGTATCTCAAGAGAGGGAGTGATTCCAAAGCCAAGTTAGTGGAGCAACCTTGAAGCAATAAAATGGCTATTTAAAATAATATATTATTTATCTTTAAAATATTTCTACTGTAAAGAAAAGGGGTGGGGGAGAAATAGAATATATGCAACAACTATTTTAAAGGTCATGTGCTGTCCTGGGTGCAAAAAAGCTGATTTGGAATAAGTTACCTGAGCCACTTGAAATCAGGGTAAAAGTATTTTGTCCAAAACACTTTAAAAGCTCTGAGAAAGAGCCAAGAAAAGTCCGTGGTCGTTGATAAAAATAATGCCCACAGCGCTGTGTGTATTTAAGTCACTAGGCTGCTGCTGTTCTTTCTGTCTATTCAGAGTTCTTACACTGATAGCCAGAAATACAGTTGCGTATTGCACACCCTCCTGTTGGAGCCAGAGTGCATCTTTTATATACAAAATAGAACAGGCTTCTGGTTGTGTTTTATACTTGTGTTACATGTTCAACAAAACTGAAGCATTGCATTTTTGGCTGTCTGCTTTCATATCTTGGCTTATAATTTTTAAGGTTGACACTATTGAAACATGATCTAGCCTCATGTCACTGTATTTCTTCTGTAGTTCAGTATTCTTTTACACTCTAAAAGAATAAATTCTGCAAATACTTAAGTGATACAGAGTTAAGTAAGATACAGATGTCTTTATAGTCCCCGAAGATCCTCGCTTACTTGGAAAGTCAAGTAAAACCTAATGATCATTTGCTACCTTTATGTATGAATTACTGAGAAGTAGTGTTTCACTGAAGAAAAAAAAATCTTGACAGCCAAATAAATGTAACATGCAGTGGAATCATGAGTTAAAGAACAAATGTTACCAAATACTATTGATTGTTAAAAATGCCAACAGAATGGTCATTAATGAAAAGTTGACTCTTCTTTCAATATCTAGTTGGACTCAATCAAAATGATTGAGAAGCGGTTCTTTATGTGTTACAAAGAATTAAAGTCAAAATAACTAAGAAAGCCAACTGCATTTGTAGTCAAGTTCTAAAAAATGTTTAAAGTTTTTTGTTAAATATGCTACCATTTACCGTTCATTACAGTGGTAACAGTATGTTACCATTTGCTGATTCTTTTCATATATAATCCATTTTACTAATACTCATTTTACTCTTTCAGGAGTTTTATGAACATACAAAAACACTTTGGCAAGATGAAGGTGTGAAAGCCTGCTACGAGAGATCTAATGAATATCAACTGATTGATTGTGCACAGTAGTAAGTATTGCTTCTATTCTGCTGTATATTGATTGCGATATATATGTTTTTTTACTTAATGTTAATGATAGTGATTTGGATGGTCCTGATGCTTAGTTTCCCTTAACTTGAAAAAGGAGTGTATGCTGCATAGTGAATTCTTGGTAATCAGCTATTCAGAGAGGTAGGAAAAACTGGCATTCAGTTAGGGAATAATATTTATATTGAAAACCCTGCAGGTGCTTTCAAATGGTCTTAATACAGGCTGAAACCTTAATGCAGTGGACAATTGTATCATCTCAAAAGACCACATTTCCTGCTTCTTCCACTTAGACCAGTTCCTTTCCAAATGACAGCTTCAGATACTGCAGCAGGTTTTAGTAAGTTGGAAAGTATGTTGGTGCGAAACATGCCTGTGTTTGTAGCTTTTGGTTTTAGTGTAGTTAATTTATCGGGGGGTGGGGGGAAGATGGCAGCAACAATCATGGAATCATGGGCAACAGCCTGTGATCAGTCACCAAAACTTCTGTTTGTATGCCTTCATGTACATATCTGAGAATGATTCATTCTCTTCTGCTATTCGTACCACTGTGATAACTAGTATTGTCATGAGAGACTGCTGCATGTTTGCACTTACTTATCACATACAGCAATACGGTATGGTTCAGAATTTTTCTGTGGCAAGATGTTTGTGATAATTGTGACCATTCCTGGTATTTTTGTTGTGTATGCTCAAGAATTGCAGGACTTAAATTTGGAATGTTAATGGTTAAACTGTTCTTTGTTAGTTTATACTCTTTCTACTTCTTTTGGAGAAGCTGAGATAAGGTTTAATGGTCAAGGAAATGCAGGTTTCTCATTTCACATGATGGTGGACAACTGCAGTTTGTCTACTGTTGCATCTCTTAAAGAACAGTAGATGAAATAAAATTTGTAAGGTTCTTTTCTTTTGTTTGTTTAGGTAGACTTAAAGGTAAATCAACAATTAGCTCTGAAAAGAGACCAGGGAGATAGTTTTGCTATGACTCGCACAGCTCCAGGTCTTTAGGAGCCTCTTTGAAGTCTTGCCATTGTTTCTAGTGTGAATTTGTTTGATGTGTAGCAATGTCTTCTGCATTAGGTGACTAATGTTTGATCATTTGGCACGGATATTTTTGCGAGTTCAGTTTCTACAAAATAAAAAATACTACAAGATTTTCATCTTCTGTCAACTGTCCAGTAAATTTTGTCTTTCTAGTGTAAAGCTGATGGAAATGAGGAAAATAGTTTTCTTTCTGATAGTGTTTGGTTATCTGTCTGTTTCTGATTAGTGTTTGTTAATAGTCAACTTCTATAATGTGAGGAAGTAAGTATTATTAAGCACTAAGGGGATTTTGTGTTGCCGTTTTTTGGAAGAGGAACAAATTTTGTTCTGCCCTGAAAGTGCAGAAGAAAGCTAAAATTCTCTCATCATCCTTTATCGCTGGACATTGACTTTTTCATGGGTCAGCAAGGGGATGGCCTTCATGATGGTTTTACCATCCTGCTCCATCTAGTGGAACACTTAATTCTGCATCATGGCTGTGGAGCCAAAAATAAACCTTGTACATTGCTGACAAATTACAGGTTATTTTTCTAAGATACCATTGCTGTGTCCTTCTAAAAATATTTAATAATTCTAATATTTATTCAATTTGATAGTAAAGTATATGACATTATTTTCTTACAGAAGGAGCTTTCTAATTGTTAGGTTTTGTAGTTCTTGTCCTTTCTGGCATTTTTGATTGTGCAGTGCTGTTGATTTTAATAACAGAATATGCAAAGTAGGAGTTTTTTAATGGCAAAATGTTTGCTTGGAGGTTAACATCACTTTGAAATTCTGAACTTGGTTTTGTCATACTAAATTTTCAAGGGACGTGACAAAAATTACTTCCTGTAAAATCTGACATGATTGATATCTTGAAATTAACCTGTTGAGCACAGTCTAAAAAAAAAAAAGTAGCAAAGGCAAAATCTAAAATGGAACTGAGGTTTATCAGGTGAAGACTATTTTAATTTGAATGTGCAAGCTACTGTCATTAGGGCTAATAGAAGTTAAAAGAGAAAGCTGAGCAAACTGTTGGAGTTGTCAGTTCTTCAGAGGAGAGTCTTGGGTTCTAAACGCTTTCCCCTTTTGAAGTCCATGTTTAAAACAAGAAAGGCATTCTTAAAGTGGAAGGCAGAAAAATGGCTTTTCTCTTTCAAGATCAATCCAACTTCCAAAAATCCCTTCTTGCTCTTGAAAGCTGAATAAATTCTTAAATATTAATGGATTCTTTGTTTGGTGAATTACTTTAAAATTCTAAACAATGTTTCTTGTTCACAAAAATTAACTTTTTGTAGTTGTTTAAAAAAAATTGAAAATTCTACAGACTCATTTTTTTGAAGTGTGAATTGCTTAGTGTAAAGTTTGTCTTGGTACAGGCTCATTTAACATTCTACTTTTTTTTAAAAAAAGGTTTTTTCATTCTTGGAAGTGACACGGTTATATATAGGAAGCTTTGCAAGGAGATTCTGCCAAATGTTTAAAAACCAATTTTGTCTGTCTTGTAGCAGGGAACAGTGGGGAGTGTATATCTTACAGGGCTTTGTTTGATTTTCAGAAATGTTACTATAAAAATGAAATTTTTTTCTGTTTCTGCCAAACCTGCATGAAATGTGTGTAGAGCTTCTTTGGAGATCTTGGAGAATTTAGGGGCTGGTCTGTATCGCCTGTGCTCAGGGGGTGGGCGCTTTGCAGGGCTGGTGGTCTGCTTGTGTGGCAGCTTTTCCAGGCAGCCAACTGCGGCAGCACCCGGCATCCTGCCTGCTGTCTTCTGGGAACTGGCACAAGTCCTTTCCCTCCTCTTATTTCCATCTTTTGTTAATGGTGTGATGGTGGCAGTGAGGTACTGGGAAGGCCATGAGGCCTTTCTGCTCTACATTGCTGCTTTTACAATTCTGCTTTTCATAGATGAAAACTGGTGCTCCCACGTAGGCAGCTTGGCTATAGTCCAACAGAAGGTCTTCTCAGAGTTTAGGACTGTATGGCATAGCTGCAGGATGCTAGAGCATCTTGAAAAGAAAGATGTTGGGGAGATGGAGGCTTAAACCCTTGCAGAGTTTGTGCTGAGGATGGAAGGGAACTAGCTGGTGAATCAGGAGCTCTTCTAGATGAACAAAGAGTGAGGGGAAAGCCACTTTTTGCTCCTTGTCCTTTCCCAGGAAAGTGGGAACAAATAGAATTCTCAACCTAATGTGTTGTATATACCTAACTCAAACGTAAGTGTTTGGAGTCTCAAAATAGCATTTTTTACCTGCCCCTGAGCAGTAACTTTAAACAGTACAATACTTCCTGCTG